CCATCCTTGTGCTGGCCTATGACCGTAATAAAGATTTGTTTGTTTGCCTCTGTCTTTTCCAGTGCCTCCTGAAAAAGTGGAAAAAGTGATGGATCAGGTGGAGAAATACATAATGACCCGCTTGTATAAATACGTTTTCTGCCCAGAAACCACAGAGGATGAGAAGAAAGATCTTGCTATCCAGAGAAGAATCAGGTGTGGCTTTAGGACTATGGTCTCCCTATTAGATACAGGCTCCTTAACATTTGTTACCTACTTGTACCTAGCTGATTCTGGCTGTAGCAGGCTTTTCTCTTACCTTTCTCAGGTTTCTCCTTGAAGTGGTTGAACTTTTAAAAGCTGCACTATTGCTAACAGGAAATTATCATTTTTACTGTCTTTAGATCATCTTATCTATGTTTTTTAATGTTCCACTTCATTGTCTTTCTGAGTGGAAGGCCATGTCAGTCCTCAATTATTCTATCACAATAGCCTATATTAAATTTGTGGATTTAATAAAGAAGCTTTTAAAAACTTCTACCCTAGTACTAGCAGCTTCAGCTTTTGTGCGATAAAGTTAAATATACATCATGCAAAGAGCAATGAAAAACAACAAATGTTTGTAACCTATTGAAGGATTTAAAGGTCCAGTACAATCTAGATTTCTCAAAAAGAGCAGTGGGACCAATTGAACTTTACACTGATCTCTTTTCTCTAAAAAAACAATGCTTGAAGAACCTTGGAGGATTACTCAGTTTGAACTGTATCTTCTTGAAAGTTCTTCTTTCACTGTAAATGCTTTGTATTCTTTCATTCCTTGTGATTTTGAAAAATATGCAAAGAGTTAGCGATCTATGAGGTACCTACCTAGGCAAATATCAGTTAATAAATTTGTTTCCCTGTGAACATCTAAAAGTCAAATCATCCACACATTCTTCAGTAAATTCAAAAACACTGTGCAGAACTTGGGGAGTTAATTTCTAGGGAGCAAACATAGGCACATTACTGTGTTAAATGCCATCTCTTAGACAATATATCAATTTTAATGAAATGCTTTAATTTCAAAATATACTTTTGAGACGAAAATAAAAGACTAGCACATGCTTAGAGATCATAGATTCAGTATCCTGGTTTACCAAGTAATCTTTTTCAGTCTCTGACCTAGTTGCCTGCTAGTGCCCGATGGTCCGGCCCCAAACTGAGCGAGTGGCTAGGGCACACAGAGAGCTCTTTGGCAAAAGATGGTTCCTCTTTAAGGATTGAATGCTTTTGGACGTTTGCATACACAGAATATATACATTCTATAAAAAAGAAAAGAGATTTGGTGGTCAGTGGCTAATATATTCTTTGATTCAAATAAAAAGTATTATAGGTTTAAGGCCAACTGCAGTATTTCAATTTACAGGGCATAGAGCAAGAACAAGATCTTATGAGGAGCAAATTTTATGCATTGTTACACATAAAGAAACAGTGTGGTTGTAGTTAGGTTTTCCTGTTCAGAAAACCTTTTTGTCTGTAAGAATGTGTCATTGGACCATTCAAAAAGAGAGCTCTCTAATACAAAGTTACATGTGAATAGATGGATCGGAGCACATTGGGGAAAGGTTTACACAAATGTTAATTATTTATTTTGTAGGTTTTATAAAGGCCAATAAAGTTGGCACTGAATTGAAAAGTTTTTCCTAACTATTCTATGAATCAGATGGATCTAGGACAAAATACAGATTTCCACTTTTGACAACGAAAATATATAAACCAGATAGTTTCTTTTTATTTTCCAGCTATTATCTATAACTGAGTTAAAGTATGTCTGCTACTGTCTTTCAAAATGACTGGGTTTTGGGTGCATCCAAAAATATTTAAAATCATGCCTAAGGATGGATTTTCCATTACATTGGTTATGGTCTCTAAAACCACCTGGCTCTATATGACTTGAGCCAGGTGGTTTAGGATATATGCAATAATGAATAAAATAAAGAAATAAAGGCAGATTAATTATTTAAATAATTAAATATATTTGCTCTCTGCTTTCGTTGTCCCAGAATGCCAGTTTCTGGGCTCAGAGTTTTGTTACCTTCACTCTTGACATATTAATCTCTTCTAAAGTTCATAATAATGATTTTTTTCCTCTCTCCTTCAAATCTCCCTGCAGAGCTTTGCACTGGGTTACTCCACAAATGCTTTGTGTTCCTGTCAATGAAGAAATCCCTGAAGTCTCAGATGTAGTTGTGAAAGCTATCACAGGTATGTAAAGGGCTGATGGATTGGAGGGGGGATGTTTATTGATCTTGAATCTTTTCACTGTAGGAAAAATCATCAGCTCGATACCAGGAGCAAACTTGTCTCATAACGGAAGGCTAGTAAGAAGAGTCTGAGTGTGGCCCATGATACCTCCATTCCTTTTTTTAGTTAAAGTAATCAAGTCTTGTTCAGACTTGAAACAAAGTATATCCTGGGGTAATACGTTTCTCATAAGGCTAGTTCACATATAAAAAGCTAAACCTATATTGTGGTTTGTAGCTTTTTTGCTTAGCATTATGTGTGTTGGGATGACAGACCCAGTGCGCAGTCTGGGGGTCCTTCTAGACTCATGACTCCTTCTCGAGGAGCAGGTGGCAATCATGGCTTGGAGGGCTGTTGCACAGGTCTGTGTTGTGCATCAATTGTTCCTGGATTGGGAGGCTCTGCTCATAGTCACTCATGCCCTAGTCACCTCCAGATTGGACTACTGTAATGCGCTCTATATGGAGCTGCCCTTGAAGAATATCTGGAAGCTTCAACTGGTGCAGAATGCAGTGGCATGGGCAGTTATGTGTACTCCTAGAACAGCACATGTCACACCTCTGCTCCATGAGCTGCATTAGCTGCCAGTTTGCTTCCAGGTCCAATTCAGGGTGCTGGTTTTAACCTTTAAAGCCCTTCATGGCATGGGGCTGGGTTATCTGCGGAACCACCTCTCCCCGATTACATCAGGCTGTCCCATTAGATCTGGCAGAGAAGGCATGCTGTGGGTACCATCTGCTAGGGACTTAATTTGATGGGTCCCAGGAGGCAGGCCTTCTCTGCTGTGGTGCCTGCCTTATGGAACCCAAAGTCAGGTTAGCCCCATCCTGTCAATGTTCCGGTAGTCCGTCAAGACCTGGTTATGTCACCAGGCTTGGGGGTCCCAGAGATCCGGTAACATCCTAAGATGGCTCCACTATTGTGGTTGATATAGCCGCTCTCTCCATGCCTTGTGGTGTGTATATTTCATTTTTTAATAATATTTTAATTTTTAGAAATGCTTTTATATAATTGTTATTTTATTTGATTGTTTTACGCCACTCAGAGTCACTTCTTGTGAGCTGGGTGGCTGTATAAATTTGATAGATAGAAAAATAAATAGTTTTCCACAAGGCAAAAGATCTGAGTCATCAAGCCTTCTGTCCCTTCCAATTCTGGCTTGAGACTTGAGAAGGCTTTATTCTAGAATTGGGATTAGGAATTGATGGCTATTCAGATGTGGCTTATCTATAACTCTCAGCAACTCTCAATCTTGGTCTCATCAACTGGAAAATTGTTGTTCAGCAGCACTCTGAACTAAAATGTTTAGTTTTTGCTACTCCAGTACTATAGAAATTATTGTTAATATATTATACTACCTGTGTGTGGAAGGCTGAATATAGTAACTGAGGGCTTATTATTTAAAGCTGTCAGTGATTGTTTTTACCTATCTACCTTTTAACTGTCAATCATCTGAACACCCTCCAGGGTCATGCTATAAAAACAGTTTCAGGACAGACATATTTTTTTAAATAGCAATTTTATTTAAAAATCACAATTACAAAGATAAAAACTAATACTAAAAAAAAAGAAAAAAAAGAAAAAAATAGAAAATGCAGAGAAGAAAAAATAGAAAAGAAAAAGAAAAGAATATAGTAAAGAAAAAGAAAATAAAC